ACACACACACACACACACACACACACACACACACACACACACACACAGGACTTTCATCACAGAGGGTAAATATTGGTTCTGTGGAAGCAGAGTCTGTCTGTGAGCTGATAAATGGTGTTTTCCTGCAGCACATGGCTCTAACCTGATGAGGAGAAGAAGAGGAGGAGGAGCGCTGAAGGAGGAGCAGATAAACCTTTGTCTGAGGAGGAGGGAGGGAGGAGACTCCTCTTGTCTCCTCTCCCCTCTGTTACCATGGAAACAGGAGGATGGAGCGAGAGCATCAGACGGATCTGAAAACATGGACGCAACTTTTCAAACCAAAACGAAAAGGTCAAAGTTCACCATTAAACCAACAAACAGGAAGTCACGTCTGTTCACGCTTCACATCCACAGAACAGCAGAACCAGAAGCAGAACCAGAACCAGGACTCTGATCTCTGACCAACATGTTCAGGATGATTCTCTGAGCTCTCCTGACGGTTTGTCTTTAAAACCAACAGACATCATCAGCCCTGCTGAACACTCAGAGCTCAGAGCAGGACAACAGGTCACACAGTCATCTTAAAGGTCAGCAGCTGGGCTGTTAGAGTTCAACACACCTCCCAGCTCCCAGCTCCCAGCTCCCAGCTCCCACCTCTGTCCGTCTCAGGGTCAGTCACATGCTAACACATCACATGCTAAAATCAACACGTCACAAGCTAACACCAACACGTGACATGCTAACACCAACACGTGACATGCTAACACCAACACGTGACATGCTAACACCAACACGTGACATGCTAACACCAACATGTCACATGTTAACACATCACATGCTAACATCAACACTTCCCATGCTAAAACAAACTCTTCACATGTTAACACATCACATGCTAACACCAACACGTCACAAGCTAACACCAACACTTCCCATGCTAAAACAAACTCTTCACATGTTAACACATCACATGCTAACACCAACATGTCACATGCTAACACCAACAAGTCACATGCTAACACCAACAAGTCACATGCTAACACCAACAAGTCACATGCTAACACCAACACGTCACATGCTAACACCAACACGTCACAAGCTAACACCAACACGTCACATACTAACATCAACACTTCCCATGCTAAAACCAACACGTCACATGCTAACACCAACAAGTCACATGCTAACACCAACACGTCACAAGCTAACACCAACACGTCACAAGCTAACACCAACACGTCACAAGCTAACACCAACACGTCTCATGCTAACACCAACACGTCTCATGCTAACACCAACACGTCTCATGCTAACATGTCACATGCTAACACCAACACGTCGCATGCTAACACCAACACGTCACATGCTAACACCAACACGTCACATGCTAACACCAACACGTCTCATGCTAACACGTCACATGCTAACACCAACACGTGACATGCTAACACCAACACGTCACATGCTAACACCAACACGTCACATGCTAACACCAACACGTCACATGCTAACACCAACACGTTTCATGCTAACACCAACACTTCACATGCTAACACCAACACTTCACATGCTAACACCAACACTTCACATGCTAACACCAACATGTCACATGCTAACACCAACACTTCACATGCTAACACCAACACTTCACATGCTAACACCAACACTAACATCAACACCTGACATGCTAACACCAAC